CCCCTCCTGCTCTGAGCAAGGCCCTGAGTGGGGTCAGCAGGCAGGGCTGTGCTAAAGTGGAACCAGAAACGAGGAGGCAGCTGGCTGCCGGGCCTTCACAGGTTGGGGGGCCACTAGGAGAGAAGCGCACGCGCCTCCAGCAGAGGCGAAGGCTGGAGAGGGTGGGCTGCCCACCAGGCTTGGACTCACGGCTGTTGGCTGTGCTCCCAGTGGACGCAGGTATTTTGGGGTGTACCACATTAAATGAGAGGTGACAAGCCCAGACAGCCTTTGGAGCCCAGCCTCAGCGTGGCCTGAACAGCTGGCTGCAGGACCAGGCTGACATCTGTGTGCTAGATGGGTTTATATGTGAGACCCAGCCCGTTTCTGGGCCTCCGCTTCCTTGTCTTTGCAGTGAGGGTTAGATGGAGCCTCAGCCCCTCCAGTTCTGGATTCTAGGGTGGCCCTACTCCATCACGGAGGTAAAAAGGGATTCTCCCTAAGAAGGTCGGTCCTGGGAAGGCCTGGGGGGTGGGAAGAGGAATTGGCAGGCCTCCCAGCTCCCAGGGCAGGAAAAGAGCCTTGACTAAGCCCAGATTCACCTTCTCAATGGACCTAGGAGGTGGCGCCCAAAGCCCCATGGGGTTTCCTGGAAAGCCGCACTCCTGCTCATGCACCTCTTCCTCCTCCTCCTGGAGGCCTCTTTCCTAAAGCAAACGCCCTGGGGAGGAGCTGGCTTTCCTGGGAATGTGGCCTCATTAATGGACTCCCTTACCCACCCCCTATACACACACACTCACACACACACAGCCTTGCAGTCTACACAGCCTGACTTTGGTAACACTCTTTCACACCTCTGGGTGTTTGCCTTGAAATACACCTTTATTTACTCAAAATGAGCCCCTTCTATGTGACCCAAGCACAGAGGCTGAACAAGACAGACAAAGACCCCACCTTCCCAGAGCCAGCAGACCACAGAATGGCCCACAATACACTCCAAAATAAACATGAAAACAGTACACTGAGAGGCTATGGCACGGACAATGTAGACAGTAAAATAAGTCAACGGTGCAAAAAGTGACTGCTGGCAGAGGGAGGAAGCGGGGCTAGTGCAGCTGGGTCTGAAGAGTGACTATTCCAGCTGCGGCTTCAGTAAGGAGACGACGGCCACCCGCCAACAGCTGGGAAGGAGCAGTTTGGGCGCAGGGGTCGGTAGGCTCACAGGTCCAGCATGTCTGAGTGATAAGACAAGGCAGTGGGGCAGAGCACAGCCATGGGGAAAGTGGTGGATGCTGGTCACATGGGGACAGGGCCCTGTGGGCACTGCTGGGGACTTGGCTTTAACCCTGGGTGGGATCAGGAGCTGGCAGGACTTCGAGAAGGGGAATTACCCCCCAGGCGGTCACTGTGTGAGGCGCAGGGACTCTACGTGGGCAGGAGTGGCTTCCCTTCCATCGTCACTTGGTTAACTCCTCATCCTTCAGATTCCAGCCCAGTGGGCACTTCCTCTGGGACACTGTCCCCACTCCCTGCCTGGTCAGATCCCTAGTTAGTCTTATAGCATCCGTTTCCCTGTATCCCCACTCCCCCGCCCCCACCAGCTCCAGCATGATTCCATGTGTACCCCTGGCTCTTTGATTAATGCCTGTTTTCCCCACTAGACTCTGTGCTCCCCAGGGGACAGCACCTTGCAGGGCCTGGCATGCAACGGATGCTCCAGCAATGTGAACAGAATAAGTAAGCAAATCCCCAGGGTCTGAGCCAATTTCCCACTCCCTCAAGGAATAGTTTTCTGCTTCTACTTCCTCCCACCTCTGTTCCTCCTGCTCCTTGTGTCCACCCTCCCCAGAGAACCCAGCATGATCCTAAGCAGCTGCGGACGCACACACCCCAGAATGTACTACAGAGGGTGCGGCATGTGTGTGCGTCTTCGCTGCACCACAGGGGTGCCCTCGGTCAGGCAGTGCCACTGCGCAAAGTCCTGCCTCACCCATGTGCACTTCACCCTGCCTCCTCCACCTGCTCAAAGGCCCCCAGGTGGAGCTCAGGGGAGAGTCTGCACCCTGAAGGCACGCCAGGGGTCCATCCCCCTCCCTCTCGGGGCTGAGCGGCTTCACTCACAGATCCACCGGCAGCTCAGGCCGCCATCCTCTCCTGTACCCACAGACCCAGAACTGCTCACACAAACAGAGGTGAGCTCTGTTTGCAAAGACACAATGGTTATGTTTTGCAAACCAGAGATGAGCACGCATAGACTAAAGAGGACTCTGGGGACAAAGTACTGGAACGTCGGACCTCTGGTTTGGCCCAGGAAATTGGGAAACTTTGGTCTATATTTTAAGAGCCAACTACTTTTCCCTATAAAAGCTCCAGGCCTGTGATCCCTGGTGCTGTTAGATTCCACTGAATTAATAAGCGTATTCTTGAAACAAATATGATAGAAACAACATTTTCAAATAAAAAAAACTTATTTCACATGCTCTGCAAAAGCTTGGTAGCTGAGAAATCACTTTTGCAGAATAGAAATAATTTTGGGGAGGACAATTGTGCATTAAAAGCCTTAAAATAAGCATTCCCATGGTCCAGTGATTTGATTGTATTTCTGAGACCTAATCCAATTTTAAGGGCTACCCCAAAATTTAACTCCAAGATAGTTGTCACACGGTGCTGCTTGTGAGAGAATATCTTTGAAAACAATCCAGAAGTTCAGCAGAGAGTAATTAAAGTAATTATTCCATCTGTACAGTGGAATATGCTGCACTCAAAATAATAGTAATAACAATACCAACACTTATTTAGCACTTACTCTGCTAGGGATCAAGTTAAAGGCTTTACATGCACCATCTCATTTAATTCTCCCATTATCATCCCCATCTCACAGATGAGAAAATCAATACCTGAAGAGTTAAGTCACAAGCCACGGTCACACAGCTAGTGGCCAGGATTCGCACTCAGGCAGTCTGACTCCAGACACCAAGTTTTTGGCCATTATACTATATGGCCTCAAATGATGCCATAACAAGAGAGAATACAGACGCACAGCTAGTCCTGCGGAATGACGCTGATGACACAGTGACAAGTGAAATAAGCGGGCTGTTCAACAGGACACACACTGTTCTCACTTGTGCACAAGCACTCAAGCAGAGAGAGAAAGATTTGAAAAGAGAACACTGTAGCATCTCAGTATAGGTTGCTGAGTAGGTGGAATTGGGTGTGTGTTTTCTTCTGCTTCTGTTTTTTGATAACAAACACATGCTGGTTTATATTAAGAAAAAATAATTTTAAATTAAAAAAATTAAATGCCAAAAATCAGATCCTTGCACTTATCCTCCGCATAAACCCAAGTGCCAAGTGTCGCCCTTGCTGTAAGCATAGATACCCAACCGCTCACACAGGACTCAGGACGTGGCCTGAAGTGGCTCACAGCTCAGCTGGCTCTTCATGGCTCAGCTTCCCCTCTGGGTAGCCAAGGTTTCCCAGCTGGGAAGAGACAACACGGATCCTCCCCACTCTGCCTCTCATCAGCCTGCCTGTCCCACCCCATCCCCCCAGGATCTCCTCTGGGCACTTCTGCCCCCAGGAAGCTGCTGGGCTGAGAGCACAGAGCTGTGTGACCTGGAAGAGCCTGGCAGCTTCTGGCCTGGCTCCAGCTTTCGCCTGGGAGCCAAGCCCAGGGACCCTCGGGGCCTAAGACGCTCCATCCTGTCCCTGGGTCTCTCAAAGAAGCACTTCACCAAGTGCCTGAGGGAGGGGGAATGTTCCAGGGACAGGAGCACCAGATCTGCAGACACACAGATACACTGGGGTCCTTCCTGGCCTAGCCACCTGCTTCCTGGCTACATAATCTTGGGGAAATTATTTCTTCTCTCTGAGCCTGTTTCCATGCCTGTCAAATAAACAATTAAAAGACCAACTTGGAAGGGACTTGTAAGAATCAAAATAATATATAAAGTATATATGTATATAACATTGATACCAACAAGTAACATTTCCTGAGTAGCAACTACTGGCCAGGCATTCTGCTAAATCCATCATATGTCTGATTTTATGGAGCTCTCACAGCTGCCCTATGACAGGTACTGTGACTACTCGTACTTTCCAAAGGATGAAAAAATGGCTGATAGTAGTGAAGTCACTTCACTGGTAAGTCATGCGGCAGGAACTCCCACCGCCATGCCTGGGCCCACACCAATCCACCGGACAGCCTGGCACAGCGACTGGAACATGGACTGCATCAGGATCTTTGTCACTGTCAAATCCCCCTGCTGGGCCGCTGCATGGCTTTGGAGAATAGTGTTAGAGTGAGGAACCCCTGCCTGGTCCCCTCCCCCACTCCCCGCCAAGAGCCGACACGGCCAAGAGCACATACCCACTTTAGGAAGCCTTCCTCTAAGTGTGGCCGCACCTCCCCACACACGTCTCTGCGCCAGTGACTACAGGCAATGTTTTGCGGCTGCACACCTGATGGCACTCTCCCTCCAGACCAGGCCTTGTGCCCTGGCCTCCCGGCTGCTGACCCAAAGGGGCTGCTCACACCCCAGGAGTCAGGCCTGCTGGCACTCACACCTGGCACCTGCCCTCAAACCCTTTCAATTCATCTCAGAAGATATGGGCCACAGGCCTCGATCTCCCAGAGGCTCAGACCAGCAGGTCTGTCTGGTCAGCTGGAACCGCGCAACTCAGAAAAGCCCGTAAGCAGCCTCTCAACTGCCCAGTGGAGCCAGGGCACTGGCTGTGTGCGCCTGCTGGGGTCTGGTTGTGCAAGTGTGTGCAGGAGAGTGTGTGTGGGAGCGAGGGTAGCAGACAGTGTGTGGGTGCGCCTCTGCTATGTGGCTCCGAGTGTGCGCGGCTGCATGGAGGTCCTGCACAGAGGTCGGGGCGGGCGGACTGGGATGGTCTCCTCCCTCCACCGTGTTGAGAAATCTCAGTGAGTCACCGAGTGGTTCTGCATATTAATGAGCTCACTCCCTGCGAGGGCAAGAGAGGATTTAAAAGAGGACTGGGCGGGCGGAGCTGGGAGCAGAGCTCAGCACAGCGCTGCGCGGCGAGAGCCAGTCTCGAGGCACCCACCGACGGGCGCAGCGGGAGCGGGAGCGAGAGGAATCGGGAGGCGCGCTCGGGGCAGAGAGAAAGCAGAGCCGGGCCGGCGCCCTCCCCGTGTCCCTGCTCCTGCTCCGCGCCCCTCTGGCCAGCATGAGGCTCCTTGCGGCAGCTCTACTCCTAATGCTCTTGGCGCTATGCGCCGCGGGTGTGGACGGTGAGTGCCCAGGAGGTCCTCTGTCGCAGCTGTCCCATCCTGGGGAGCCCAAGCGCCAAATGCTAGGCTTCCTGAGACCCCGGGGACTCTGAGTGGGCACCGAGGGCGGTCCAGGCACGGGAGCCCCCGCCCGCAACTGAGAGGCTCCTGCGCACTCTTTCGCAGGGTCCAAATGCAAGTGCTCCCGGAAGGGGCCCAAGATCCGCTACAGCGACGTGAAGAAGCTGGAAATGAAGCCAAAGTACCCGCACTGCGAGGAGAAGATGGTTATGTGAGTTCCCGCGTGTGCGTGCTGCTCTTAACTGGTGCTGGGGCACAGCGTGGGGCTGGGTCGGGCTAACAAACGTTTCACTCCGCCTTTGGCAGGGCCTCAGCAGGGCCTTTGTAATTGCCCAGTGAGTCCTTAGGACACTGGCACGACAGTCTGGAAGGGAGTTTGGAGAGAGGGTTACTGTCCTGTGCCCCGGAAACAGCCTCCCCGAGTTCACCCTTGCTAGGATTCAAATGGGTGGCCCACCTTTCCTGGGTGATGAAGGGTTAAATGGTGCCCCTGTGCCACCTTAGAAAACCTAGACTGAAAACACTTCAAAACGCACCCAGAACTAGTGAATTTGCACCCAAACTGTGCAGCCTTCCTGTTGCTAGAGAGGATTAAAGTGAACATTGTCATGCATCCTCAGACCTTCCTTTCAGAGCCTTTTCCAATCAGGGGACCGTGGACAACCAGTTTTGGCTTCTAGCACTTCCATTTTGAGAGTGATCCTCACTCTTCCTTCCCAGGCTGGACTCTTGTGGGTCGCTGAGCCTGAGCAGTTGTGGGAAGTGCTCTGCTGGGGTTGACGTGCCACATGGCTGGAGCTCTGCTTGGTGGGGATGTGGGAAATATCTTTGAAACTGGGGCAGAGAGAACACCGAGTTTCCTTGCTCCTCTGCCTCCCCAATTAACCACTTGGGGCCAGCGCCACTGTTTCCCCATCAGTGTGCTTTTGGCCAGGAAGAAAGCCCTTGGCAAAGCAGCTCCCAAGTATCTGCCACCGACCACCGGCCCGTCTCCCCCTCCCTCAGAAACAGGACCCGCTCTCTTCACAGTCTGGGCAAGCGCCTTCCTCCCACTGGCCCCACTGGCCCGAAGGCCACAGTGGCTGCGAAGGCGGCCCCTGAGCCCTACTGCTACCTGGAGGCTGCACAGTTGGGCTGAAGTTACGGGAATTCAGAGAGCCACTGGCCTGGGCTAAGCCCCTACCTTCCTTCCCAGGCACCTAAATTAACTTTTTGTCCCTGCCCCTTTGCCTTGCTCCTTGCCTTATGGACCCAAGTCCAGAAAAACAGCCAGAAAATCCTTTGGTGGGGGAGGAGTGCAGAGAGCATGAGAGGTGGAGGAAGTGCCACAAGCCCCTCCTGGCTCCCAGCGTGGGGACTGAAGAATGCCAGGGATGTGGCAGGTTAAGTCTGCAGTCCTCTAAGTGCTGAACAATGCTCCACACCAAGTGCAGTGGCTGAGACCCCGCAGGTGAGGAGAAGCAGGCGGGGTGCAGTGACATCGCTAAAGACAGAATGCTCAATAATAGACTTGTTCTTTTTCCTAACTAAACTTTTCAGAATAGAGAGGAAACTAACAGGCAAGTGCATGAGAGGCTTTATGTAGTCTTGTGAAAACTTGCAGGAGCTCCACGAGATCCGCGTGCAGGCAACCTCTCCTTAACCTCCACCCTCCACCCAGACCAGCCACCATCCCTGAAGGGCCGGAGGTCCTCTCCCCTCAAGCTTCTAAGACTCTCTAGATTAGACAAAGGACCAGCACTTTTTGCCAAAGCAGGTTTTCAGCCACAAAGGCTGAACAAAAGCAAGTTCTCCAGTTCATCCTGAGTCACCTAGAAATCTCTGATGAGGCGGGGGAGGGGAGCTGTCTGCTTTGCAAGTAGGAGTCCTTGCACCCAGAAGGGTCCAGAAGTCTAGACAGAGCAATTTGTGTCCCATGTCCACTGAGCTCTTGCCAAAACCCTCAGCATCCCAGAACCATTGAGGAGAGAGGCACAGGGCCCAGGAATTCTGAGGAGCGGCTGGGGGCAGAAATCCTTGTGTCCTCACCCCACAACCAGTTTTCATAGTCCCAGGATTGTGACAGAGCATTTGAGCCTGGGGTGGAGGGCTGAGCACCCCTTTCTGCTCCCCGACCTTCAGGTCTCCGGACATGGGATTCTCAGCCCGTACAGTGACCTAACTGAGGAGGGAACTTTCTCAGACTCTGCCATGGCCTTTTGTTGCAAGCACAAGAGCAGCGCTGCAGGCAGAGAGAGCAGTGCACGGGCTAAATTCCTACCGTGACTAGGTACCGTGGGGGAGGGAAAAGGCCAGACTCCACTCTGAAACCTGGCCCCAAGGCCTCAAAGGAAGGACAAGACCTGGGGAGCATTAGGTCTCAAAAAGAGGGACAGTGAAGTCAGGGTCCAGTCACTCAGCATCAGGGGAAGGCCCCCCTCTGCCCCAGGAAGCCTGGGCCATGGCGGGGAGAGAGCAGGTGGCTCACAAATACTCTAACCCACTCTGGCAGCAAGATTGGATTTCCTTTCCTGTCGACTGGGAGACTCAGAGTTCAGGGAGACTCTGATCCCTTCTAGAACTTGGCCCATAATCCCTAACCGTTTATCGCTGGGAACCTGCAGGGGACTAGCTGATCTCTCTCCCTCCCTTCCTGCTCTTCCCCCTTGGGCCTCCAACCACCCCCCCTTTCCCCACTTCCCGTTCCCTAGTGCCCCAAGTCCTCCCCACACCGTGCTCTGGCTGTGATCTCCCAAAGAGCAACATCCTCACCTCTCACCTTCCACTTTTCCATGCCCCGAGGTGGTCCCTCCGCTTCAGCACTGCCCTTCCTGCCCCACCCAGAAGCATCCTCCTCCTCCTCGAGCCCAGCCAGGTTGAGAAGGCCACCGCAGTCTGGGCAGCAGCCTTGCCTTCCCCTTTGGCTGGAGCTGACACACTAAGGCTGCTCTCTTTCCACAGCCACCTCATTTTCTAATAACAATAATTATCCATCATGCATCTACCAGGTACTAGGCACTTTGCATAGATTATGTCCTTTGTTCATCCCAATAGCCCTAAGAGGTAGGTCCTTGTTTTACACCCATTCGACAGATGGGCAAACTGGAATCCTTTGAGACCCAGGGTCTCACAGACAGACCTGTGACTGAAATCCAGGTCCTACGCTCTGTCTGATGCCACGTGCTTCTCTATTGCATGGCTAAGCCTCCATTGGCTGGTAGAGGCCTGGAGAAAGGACTTATTTTTCTGCCCAAGCATGAGGCAGCTGGGACTTCAAGCTCAGGAACCACAATGGGCTTCAAGGCCAACAAGACAGCTTCAGGATCAGCAGCCCTGAGATCGCCTGCAGGGGGTGGGGGAACTGGGGTCTGCAGGATCAGAGGGAGGCCACGGCGCACGCGAGCTTGTCTAAGCCCTGCCGTGCAGCAATGCAACCCAAGGAAAGGGGCCTCAGCCCGTGCACCTCAGTGGCACTAGCTCCCTCCACCTCTCACCCCCGGGTTCAGAGGAACTGGAAGAGTCCTCTGACCTTTGTTCCCCAAGTGGGGCTGGAGCCCTGCATGGCGGTGGCAGTGAGGGCGGTACAGGGTGGAGAAGAGAGGGACACAGTATCCTAGACTCGGAGGGCGCCAGGGAGAAAAGTGAAAGCCCATCACGCAGCAAAGGTGTAGACCCTAACGTGGAGTCTGAAAGAAAGGGCATAACCAGAACCTTCCGAAGAGCCAGGTAGGGAGTGAGCAGATGTGCAGGCTCTGCTGAAAGGAGGGAGGAGGCCACAGTCTCTCAGTGCTCTGACTGGGACAGACCGGAGCCACCCACAGGCCACACTGAGGGGCTACCATTCAGGTTCCTCAATCCTCTACCCTATCCCACTCCATTTCAGCATCACCACCAAAAGTGTGTCACGGTACCGGGGTCAGGAGCACTGCCTGCACCCCAAGCTGCAGAGCACCAAGCGGTTCATCAAGTGGTACAATGCCTGGAACGAGAAGCGCAGGTATTGTACCTCGCCTTCCCCTCACCTTCCTTCCCACCTTCTCCAGATCCAGATCCTGGACCCCTTGTAGGTCCTCTAGCTATGTCTATTGGGTCGACACCCATCACAGTAACCACAGAGAGCAAATACCCAGGCACTAGTTACATACCTCCAGGGACGAGGAACTCACCACTTAATAAAGCAGGCTATTGCTCTATTAGATAGCTGTAAGCATCAAAAATGCATCCTTTTGTGAACTAAAGTTTGTCTCATTTTAAATTTTATGTTACAGTCTTAACGCCTCTTCTAACTAGAATTATATGATCCTGGGTTTCCCTCTATCAAAAGCTGGGCGAACACCTAGCACAGCTCTGTGATTCTTATGGGGTGAAATATGGCCAATTAGTGACCAGGTTTATTAACAATAAAACTATAGGTACAACCACAAGATGATAGGGGTGACTCCTGCCAACAATACGTTCTTCCTCATGCCGCCTGCTGCCCAGACACTTGATAAACTCTTTCCCACACAGATGCAGGGAGGGACCTTGGGTTTGACCCCTTAAAATCAGAACTACTTTTAACCTCAGGGGCAGCAGTGGCCAGAAGACCTAAGCCCTGAACCAGACCCCTGCGCTCTTTGAGCTCTGTTTCCCCATAATCAGAGGACAGGAGTTCGCAGCTCTGACCCCCTGGGGTCCTCTGTCTGGCTTCAGAGGGGAGCAAGTTCCCGGCTCCCAGATACCACATAAAGGCGAGTCTGCCCTGAGGCAGACCTGTCCTCGCACACTCAGAGCCCGTTTACACCTGTATCTGGACACTGGCCAGGGAAGCACATGCACGTACCCACGTGCCTGCTCCTGTGAGCAGGTGAGTGTCCCCAGAGCTGGTGCCAGCACCTCATCCAGCAGAGGAGAAAACCAAGGCTAAGTGGGGATGGGGAGTGACTTGCCTGGAAGCACGAGGCCAAAGGCCAGGCTTCATAGTGTCACCTTCCCCCTCCCTGCCTCAGTCCCGTGCTGCCTCTCCTGTCACCCCCTCTCCCCACCTAGCCCTTCTACCCTAAGCTCTGCTGGTGACCAGCTCCCCCACAGCTGACACTTGGGCGTAACCCCAGTACCTGAGCCTTTTGAGCTGCCTCCAAAACTGCCTTGTCTGCAGTTGCTTGAAATAGATAATGATGAGAGAGAAGGATTATTTTCTTTAAGTCTGATGGGAATGAAGCCCTCTTTCTGGTCAGGGCAGGGAGCTCACATGGCGAAAGCAGGACCCTGCCCTGTCTGCTGTCATGCTCCAGGCCCTATGTCATCCGAAGTGTAGTGAGGCTAACCTCAGGGCCAGTCACGGAGGGGCCGAGACCGTCATCGGGCTGCTGAGATTCTCAGGCCTTTTCTCAGGCGTATTTGTCCCTCGCCCCTCCACCTGGCCACAGCTGTGACTAGGTGGAGGCGGACATGGGCCCATGAAGCCCTGCCCATTTTATTTCTGCAAATTCTGACAATGGGGAGAGTGAGCGCACCTCTGTTCCCAGAGCTCTGTCACTGTATTATAGAACCAATGCATCCCACTCTCTTGGAACGCTGAGGTGTCCTGGGAGAGGAAGGGGCCATTCCTTTGCCCTCTCCACCTCCCCCACCCCCCGCCCTGTAAAAGGTCGAAAATGTCTCTGTGAACGTAGAATGGAGATAAGGGAACTATCTTGCAGTCCTGTTTGCAGAGAAGGGGAGAAAATGCTGGAGCTACATAGAGGGAGGAGAGGACAGCGGGCCAGGCCAGCTCCTGGGGTCCAGACAAGAGAGCTGGGAGCATCTCAAGGCCCAGAGCCTCCAGCTGCCACTGGTGGTGGTGGCGGCGGCGGCAGGCTTCTGATTTCAGTGCACAGTGAAGTGGTGGTCTGCAGCAATGAGGAAATAGGCAGGGGGAGCAATGGGCCACCGGAGTGTGAACTACAGCCTCACCGCAGGCGTGGAGCAGAAGGGAAGGGATTAAAGTACTTAAAGAGAGATGGCTTGGGAGGTGAGAGTGAAGGTCAGCCTGTGAATGCACATGGACCTGTTAACTACAAGAGGGAGTGACCTCAAGCCCGAGGCCTCCGTGACGGCCCCAGCCCACACTCTTCAGTCTTAAGACAGCTGCCTCTCAAACTGGTGTTTCCCCAGAGGACAGGCATTCTTTGAGCAGAACACAAAGAAAGACACAAGCCTAAGCTGAGGGAGGAGATGCCTCTCCCCCCGCCCCTCCACTGCCCATGCTGCAGACAGAGCTTCCCACCACTGACATTCAATGTCCCTCAGTCTCTTGTGCCTCGGTGTCTTCATTTACAGAGAGGGTTTGCTTCATAGGGCTTTGGGGATAAAATGAGACCGCAAGGGTGGAGTGTTTAGAGAGACAAAGCCAGATTCAGGTGAGCTTTCATGGTTCTTGTGCTGGCACACTTCAGGGCGTTCCCCACTTATCCCAGCAACCCCGGGAAGGGGCACTGCTGAGGACAAGAAAGCACAGGCTGAGCCACCAGCCTGTGCTTTGCCCAAGTCATGTCCTGAACCACTCACATGGGTGTTTTCTCTTTCCAGGGTTTACGAAGAATAGGGTGAAAAACCCTTGATGGGAAAACTTCATACCGGTTGGGAGACAGCAAAGGACTTTGCAGATTAAAAAAACAAACCCTTTCTTTCTCGCAGGCATAAGGCACAAATTATATATTGTTACGAAGCACTTTTTACGAAGGGCCACTTTCTACATTTTATAGCTGTGTGCAAAAGGCTTCCAGATGTGAAACCCGTCTCTCTTGCACTCCAGGCTTCATCGCAGGCTGCTTTTTACTGAAAAGCGGGAAACTCATGCCTTTCCTTTATAAAAAGAAAAAAAATGCTTTTTTGTATTTGTCCAGACATCACTATACATCTGAGCTTTATAAGCACCTGGGAGGAACGAGGAGCTTGGTTGAGATATTTCACAGCCGCACCGCTCCACTCCTAGCGCAGGGAGCTTCCGCTCTGAGGCCCTGGCGCCCCGGCACCGCTGCCACGGGCTCTCCTGGGCTCAGGGTCAGTCGCGGCCTCGGAGGGCTCTGTAGCGGCCCCAGACTCTGGCCAAGGAGGAGCAGATCTCTCTGCATCTGTTCTTTTATGAACCTGAGTTTGTCTGCCAGAGAAATGTGCTCATCCCTCTGGTTAATTTTTACACACTCCAGGAAACATGTCCAAGAGCCCGGGATAGCAGGGCAAACAGTGCTTAAGGAAGGGTTTGGGTCTTCTCTCCCCCCAAGGGTGTGTGAACGGTCACCGCTTCAATAGTTAATATTTTAGAAGCACATGACGTTCCTGACACTGTTAGCAAAACCCTTAGGAGAAAACTTAAAAATATATGAAGACATACACAGTATACAGCTACAGACATGTATTCTACTGATGAAGGAGGACCTTCAAAGTATGTTTCTTTCCCTCATCACAATGGAACACACAGCAATCCATGTGCGATCCCCATGTAATTTTTCAATGTTAAACAGTGCAGCCCCCTTCTGGAGCTACATTGGCCATGCGCCCTTTCCGTGTAAATATGCCCCCTGCTCACACGGCCCCTTCAGCATATGCCGCATTGTACTGCTGTGTCATGTGCTCTCTAAGTGTCAGAAACTGTTAGTGTTGCATGCAGGTTTCATATTCTTTCTAAGACAAAAAGAAAAGTAATAAAATATATTTGAAATGTACCAGGATTCTAGACCACTGACTTTTTTTCTATTTAATTAAACCAGAATGACAATCAAATGTTTACCATGTCCTGAATAAACAGGGACAAAGGCACTGGAAGGAAAACTGGTGTTTCCCAAAAACCTGCCAACACCTGTCACCTCTATGGAATGTCAGCACAGTCCCGAGACAGAAAGCCAGGCCGCAGGGTGAACGCTCCCTCCCTGCCCGTCTCCCACACCTGGGGCGGGCTCATCAGTGCAGCCAGGTCAGAGTCTGCGGCACTGGAGGGCCCCGCTGCGGTCCCCATTTGGAGAAGATGCCAGATGGGAGACCAGTCCAGATCCCTGCAGTCCAGGGCCCCAGGAGCCCAGCAGGGCTCAGGGAGGTCAGGCAGTGCCCACTGAGTGGCTGTGGGCCCTGGAGCCAGGCTGTCTGGGAGCCACAGTCGGGTAGACATTGAAGCTCCACCTCTGCTTCAGCAAGGAAGAGACGACGCGTGCGCAGCTCACGGCACTTCTGAGGCGAAGGAGGCAAGTCACATAAAGCACGCAGGATTCTAGGGCATGGTATGCACTTGGTAAACATGAGCTCCTTTAATATTCACAAGGCTGGGCTACTTGCACTTACCCAAAACTGCCCACAGCTCTGTGCTTCACTGTATCCAAGCCAACCAGGCCCTGAGACAGACCCCTGTGGCCCCTGCGTCCCCTGCCCTCTGCAGGACTGTCTGGGGGACATCTGCACGTCTTGTCTGCTACACTAGGAAGCAGAAGTTGGCTCTGCCAACACTTACGGGGACACAGCCAGTGCCTGCCCCGACATGTCCTCAGCAGGATGCTACTGCGGGCCCCTTCCACCAGGGCCTCATCCCCGGCAGCACTGTTAGACCCAGTGTATTTCTGAAGTTGCTAGGACCGGAGGGGTTAAGAGAGCTGCCCGAGGTCACGCATCACACTGCTCTGACAACAGAGCCTGCCTGCCTTCCCGCTGAGGGGGGCAGAAGGGGAGGGCCGAGGCCACACTGGGTCTGGATGACTGTGGTCCCACCTTTCCTGTCATTATGGAGAAAGAAGGAAGACGGGACAGGGAAGCCCAGAAAGCAGCCAACAGAATAGCCCCCGTGGGAGGGTACACAACAGGGCAGTGGAGAAGAGAGGCCGGCCCTTCCCTGCAGGCCCTCGCTCAGGCTTTGAGGGAGGAGCCCCTGTAAGGAAGCCAGCTGACAGAGACCCCCCTTCACCAGACCCCAGGTCCCCCGCCCTCCATATCCCCTGCCCCACTGACACAAAGTTCTCTCCATCCATTAGGGTGGGGGAGCAGCATTCTCTGTGCTGCTCCGAGTTCCAGGCTTCACTCCCCTCTTTCACTCTCTCTGAGCGGCCACATGCACACCTCCCCCGCCCTGCTCAGGCCTCTTCTATCTCACCTGTGGCTCTGGCACCAGCACCTCGTCTCCCAGTAGTGCTGGCTGTGTGTCCCCTCCGCAGTCTGACCTCCCAGTCACAGACTGGATTCTTAATAACAGCAACACCTTTCAGAGTTCCATGCACCGGTTGGGCATGTGCCCTGGTGCTCCGGCTGCACCCTGCGCCACACTGCTGTGCCCAAACAGGGCAGGCACTTCAACTAGGGGGCACCAACAGTCAGCAGAAGAAGGCTGGACCTCCAGCCCCAGTCTGTCCAAGAGCAGGAGGGGTGGAGGTATGTGTGACCGTCTCATCCTCGACAGGGATTCTGTGTCCCTGGGGAACAACGGCTGTCTATGCTGCTGTGGGTGACTTGAACTCTATCCTCCACCAGACAGGTGTCAGCCTGACCACTAAGAACGGGCTCGACCCCAACACTACCAAACGCTGGCCCTCCAGTGCTAGGAACCGTGCCTGGCTCCTGGGAAGAATGCCCCTTTTCACGCCATTTCCCATCATTTTTACCCTCTGGGCTTCCCAGCAGCCCAGTGAGGCTTCCACTCACCACATCCCAGAACAACTCTAGTGCAGCAAGGCAAGGCCAGGCTGCCCCTCCGGGTAGACACTGCGACTGTACTCCCACCTGGGGAAGGTAAGCACGCTCCCCCACACAGGGGCGGACCACGCCCCCACGCAGGCCTCACTTCTGGAGCCTCACAGGCCAGCTCACTCGGGATCCAAACGCCACCCCGGAGCCCCCACACTTCACAACCTGCCCTGAGCAGGCTCGCACTGCTGCCCCAGGCTCCACACCAGGACGGCCCCAGGCTGGCGAGCCCCGCCAGCTGTCTGCTCACCTCCTCCCCCAGCCAAGCCCTCCCCAGGCTCCCCTCCACCCCGGGGCTTTCCCTGACCGCCTGGCACTGGCACTGGAGTCTGTCAGCTATACAGTTGCGAGGCCTGTTCCAAAATAAAGATGCAGGGCCTCCTGTTCAAAAATTAGTAAGAACTTCAGGGTGGTAACAACAGAACATTAAACACCAGCACAGCGCTCTGTGCATCTCACATGTCACAAGCCCATGGAGCAGCCCTATACCTCAGGTATCAACTCTAGCACCCATCGGGATGGATGATTTTGGCCCTGAGATATTACATGACTTGTACTATAACCAACAGCTTATTTTAACTCTAACATCTAACAAGTGTTGTCTTAGAAGCCGAGGACTGTGTCTTATGCTTTGTAAAAACCTCCGGAAACCTATACTAGCACTTACAAGGTACTCAAACACTACAAATCAGTCCCACAGAGCTCCCTGAGAACATGCTTCCTGCACGCATTCGCTGAGCTACTACCGCATGCAAAGCTCCGTGCTGAGCAAGGGGTAAGGGGGCAGGGGCCCCGGTGAGGTGCCATCCCTTAACCTCAGGAGCAGAGCGCAGTCATTCCCACACCCAGCCGCTGCTTCCTTGTGCAGTGCTTGCTGTGCACTGCCTCCTGCACTGAATTCTGCCAACGGCCCCTCCGGGAACCCCTGGTCTACAAGGGGGATGGAGACACGGCCTGAAATTGTCTAAGCACTATGCGAGGTGGTCACATGGCAGGCTGCTGGGCACCCCAAGGGGGCACTCACCCAGTCTTGAAGGAGGGGACCCCTGACCAAGACCTCTGTCAGTTCCGGGAGGGCTCATAGGGAATCGCAAGTTGCTCTCAGGCAGCAGTGGGCAGTGCCGATCAGCCCCAGTGCAGGGGTCGCCGTGGCCTGCTCACAGGGATGAGACGACCGAAAGGACGGAGCACCCCAAGGGCAGCAAAAGGGCAATGCTGAGGGAATTCAGAGGGGCCTCGGGGATGTGGCCACGGCCCTGCAGCCATGGCCCAGCCGAACATCCAGGGAAACCAGCCACAGCTCTGACCCCCACTCCACCTCGCCCATCTGTCTCTTCCTCCCTGTCATCACGTCAGCACTTCCGGTCCGGTCCCGCTGGAGAGCCCGGCTGGGAACTCTCCTGCCACTTTGGGCAAGGAAGCTCGCCACCACGGCTTTAGCGCTCACGCTCCCACTCAAGGAAGAATCAGGCTGGTTGTAGAGCCCTTGGGGTGTTTTCCCGGCCATCTGTTTTTGGAAAGTTAAATAGATATTCTTGGAAGTCATTAAGAAAGCAATCAAACCCTAAGCAATTTTCTTGCTTTTAAGGGAACATCTCCCAGTTTCCTCCACACTGGACCACTCCGATCTGTGCCACTAGAGGGAAGCAAAGAGCCAGGGCACCTTAGACGAGGGTTCTCCCAGTCCCCAAGAAGGTGTGGGAGGTGGTAACAGTAACCGGCGTGGTTACTGCTCACTGTGAGCAGGCCCTGTGCCCAGGGCCTCACGCGCGTCATCCATTGAATCCTGTCACTGCTACAGCATAGGGTTCTACTATCAGTCCCACTTTACAGGTGAGGAAACCGATGCTCAGTGAAACACTGTCTATACTACGAAGCCAGCAGGTGGTCGACAGGGCTCGACCCCACACCTGTATGACTCCAGAGTGGGGCTTTTGCTCCCTGAAGTACACTCTGTCTCCCAGTCCCTGCCGACCCGGGCCCGTGGACGACAACACTGCTGTGCCCTCGCCCAGCACTTCCCTCCTGTTTATTGAACAGAGATTAGCCATCAGTTAATACGGGCCACAGGGACAAGCAGCCTTAGCCAGGTCTGCTCTGCGCGTGGCTTGGTCCATCTTTCAGCGGCAGAAGGCTGTAACAACAGCAGGCTCCTCTGGGGCTTCTCCCGCTCATCCAACAAAGGCAGCCCTGCAACTGTGTGGCCGCGGCTCCGGCCCACACTTGGCAGACACAAACTCTGCTTCAGGAGAGGGCGAATAAGCAAGAGGACAATATTATCATCAAATTCAACTCAGTGCTTTAATTAGAATCAAGTTGAAACCATCAAGATGTTGGTTTTAAAAAAGTAATTCAAAGCTGGATTTAAAATAATCAGCCCCATTTCACAATGAGGAGATCTGATGTTCTGGGGTGAATAGCAGGATGTCTAATTAGATGCAGATGAGACTGTCATCTGATATTCAAAGTTATTCCCCAGAGCAAATTGAGAAGGTAAAGTAATATGCACTTTCTTTCAACTCATTGTCTCCTTATAGGCAGCCATCACACAAAAGTCATCGCTAAATTACACAGGCTTTTGTCCCCCCAAAATAACAGGCTGCTAAGGCAAACCGGAGTTAAGTGTTTGCATTGGTACAGCCAAAAATATTATAAACCAAAAAAATCGATGAGAGAAAGTATATCCTGCAGCTCCTTTATAGCTGCTAAGGCACTAACTCTGCTAATTCCACATATTTTGAGAGGCAGCAAAGTTTAATAAAAACAATAGCAACAACCACAGCCAATATTTATTACGTGTTTTTTCAACAAACTCTGAATTAGTCCCATTTTACAGATGACGACCTTATGGCTTAAAGGAGCTGAGTAACTTGTCCAAGGTGGCAGAATGGCCAAGCGGTCTGGTGCACTGTTCAGCCTTTGTTTGAACACTCCTGGGCAGAGCGACATACATGTGTGTCCTGATTTGCTTGGGACAGCACTGGTCTATGACAGTTGTCTCA